GGCAGCTGCCTACACGCGGGGAGTAATTACAGAGGGAGACGGAGGCTGCTGGCACCTTCCGCCAACGTGATCCCACCTTGGGCGCTGCTGATTCACTGCCACAGCCCCGATAGCGGCACAGCTGGGCCGGGCTCTGCCCCGAGCCCCCAGGCTGAGGATGAGGATGAGGATGGGCAGCTTCCTCCCCGCCCAGCCCCTGCTCGGGATTGTCTTTTTGCAGAAAGCAGGGACTGGCAAATCTTCCTTCCCCCAAGACAGATCTGTCTCCTCCTGCCAGATGAGATTATTGCCGTTTACAGCCCAACCTCCATTTCATTTTAAAGCCATTTTTCCGTGCGGGAGATGCGCTTGCAGTGGTGCTGTGTGTGTGGCTTTGCCTTTCAAGAGGGGTTTGCCTAACAAGACCCCCAACTCCAGGCTGAATTGTGGTGCAGGAAGGTGTGGACAGGATTGCTGAGGGTCCTTAGCTCCCCATCATCTGTAATCAATTGTCCAGAAAGGTGTGGACAGAGTTCCTGAGGGTCCTTAGCTCCCCATCAGCTCTAATCCACTTTACTGTGGCACCACAGCCTCTCCTCATGTCCTGAGGGATGGGAGTGATTCTTCCTCAAATGGTTCAGGAGGGAAACCGTGGCTGCTTTGGTGTGTTTGGAGTGCAGGGATGATGAGTGTGGCACAGGAGGAAGGAGCCAGCCTGTGGCACCCCGAATTCCATCCATGCCCTGTTCTCCCTGCAGCCTTGGGAAATCTGTGGGGAGCACCCCAGGGCTCTGTGGTGGGCTGGGCACTGGCACTGCCAGGGCTCTGAGCTGGGAATGCTGCTCCATCCATCCATCCATCCATCCATCCATCCATCCATCCATCCATCCATCCATCCATCCATCCATCCCAGGCTGGGAGAGCCCTCCTGGCCTCCCTGGAGATGGGACACCTGCAGGCAGGGCAATGAGGTGTTGGGGAGCAGCAGCTCCTGCCTGCCCAGTGTGTCCCACACTGCTGGAGCTGGGTGCTGCTCCCCTGGGTGTCCCCAGGGTGCTGCTCCCATCCCCAGGTGCTGCTGTGCCCTCGGTGCCCGTGGTGCCGAGCCTGCCCTGGGTAAGGTTTCAGCACTGCTGCTCGTGTTGCAGGGCACAGTGCACACAGCTCCTCTGGGCACAGCCCCTGGTGCCACCTCTCTGGGCACCCTCCTGCCTCCTGGGGGAGATGCCAGCCCCAAGGATTTGAGGATGGCCCAGCCTTGGAGGGCTGCCCAGGGGTGGGTGCTGAGGGTGTTCCCACAGTGCTGAGGGCTCTGAGCCCCCTGTGGATCCTCATCCCAGCTCTCCTCAAGCCCAGACCCCAACACAGCTCATTCAGAGCTCTTTCCCTGAGTCTTGGGTGCCCTCGTCCTCTGGCATGACAGCCAGGAGAAACTCAATGCCTTTAGATGGGGACTGTTTTTTTTTCCCTGATTTTCCCTGGGCTCCTTCTTGACAGAAACCTGGCTCTTGAAACCCCCAGGGCTGTTCCTGATGGTGCCAGGCAGGACAAGCTGTGATGGAGGAGGCAGCACTGGGCTTTGCTGGGCATTAAATATTGATGGCAAAATGATGAAAGTGCTCCTGGAGCAGGGCTGACCCATTTAGGCACAAAACTTCCTGGGGGCTGAGCTGTTCCTGCAGTGTGGCAGTGGCAGGGAGAGTCCCCTGGTGCTGTCCTGTCCCTCCAGCCTGCTCCTCATGGTCACCCAGGGAATCATGAGTGTCACCCAGGGATGGGTGTCACCCAGGGAATCCTCATGGTCACCCAGGGAATCCCTGGCTGGGCCCTGTGCAGGGTCAGCCCTGCAGGGAACCACAAAATCCTTGAAAAGGTTGGAAATGCCCTCTGAGTGCATCATCAGATCCAACCATTCCCTCAGTGCTGGAGCCACGTCCCCAGGTGCCACATCCACGTGGCTTTGGAGCCCTTCCAGGGATGTGTTGGGAATGCTGCCCTTCAGCTGTTGAGCAGGAGAAGCCACTTCCAGCTTGAGCAGGGCTTAAATTCAAGATTGAGGAGCTGGAATTCCGTGATCCTTGCGGGCTCCTTCCAGCTCAGGGTGTTTTACTCTTTCCCCTGATCCTGAACTTTTCCTTGTGGGTTAATGTAGGGCTTGGAGCATCCTGGCTGCAGCTGGAGTGTGCTCAGAGGGCAGAAAGGGACCTTGTTTGTGCTGCCTCTTCCCCCAGCCCAGGGAGCAGGGCTGTGTCCTGGAGACCTTGTGCTTTGCATTAGTTTCATTTTTGGCAGCTGAACAAAGCCGTGCCAGTCCCGGGGAGCTGAGTGGTATTACCCAGGGAATTCAGCTCAGTGGAACAAAGCAAAGCCCTTTCAACCCTTGGCTGCCAGGTTTTGTGTCTGTGTTTTTCTGAACTCTGCCCAGGCAGCCCGTGGAAGGCAAACAACTTGTGGGTGCTGCTGAGGGGGCAAAAATCTGGGGAGAATGGGATTTGCTTTCATTGCCACAGTGCTACTGGATATTTGCTTTGCTGCTGGTGTCCTGCAAGCCTGGATTCACCTCTCCTGAGGGGGACAGAGCCCCTGGTGCCCCCAGGGAGGGGATGAGCCCTGTGCTGGCAGGGGAGCAGCTCCAGCACATCCCTGGTGTGAGGGTGATGCTGCTGAGCCATCCCATGGCACAAATCTGTTCGTTCCCCACTGTTTGTCCTTGCCATGGGGGTGATGCTGCTGAGCCATCCCATGGCACAAACCTGCTGAGCCATCCCATGGCACAAACCCGTTCATTTCCCAGTTTCTCCTTGCCAGGTTTCTCACCTGGAGCAGGGTGAGAAGGCTCTGGAGTCACCTTCCCTTCCCACCCTGGAGAGAGAGCAGGGCTTGCAAAGGGCTATTTTTATTTTTATTTTTATCTCTGGGGTGAGGAGCCCTTGTCACCGCTCTCATCCTGCCAGGCTGTTTTTGTTGGAGGCTCCAGACAATGTTTTAAAAACATTCACTTTCAGCAAACTTCCTCCTGGGGGCTGGTGAATTTTATTTGGCCAGCTCAGAGTCACCTTCCCGCTCCTTCAGCCGCCCCACGAGCCCCTCTGGGGGATTTTATCTCTTTATTTGTTGCTTTAAAACGTCTCCTGTGGATCCGTGGGGAGCAGGACCTGCCCTGAGCAGTGCCAGGGCTGGGCTGTGCTTTGATTCTGCTTTGATTCCCCCTGCTTTGGGCGAGATGTGCTGGATTTTGGCCGGTGCTTTGCCTGGAGATCCTGTTCCATCATTAATTCCCCGGGTTTCATGCTCAGGACGATGTGTTTACACGGGCACTGCTGAGAAAATCACACTATTTACATATCCCCGTGCACGTCCTCGTACACAAACACTGCTCTGAACCTGCGAGCCGCCCAAAAATCTCCTCCCTGCAGAAATTCTGCCAACATTTCTGCTGCTTAACTATTGCTCAGGCTCAGAGAGCTTGGGCTGAGCCTGAGTGTGGGGCTGGGGCTATGTCCCTGTCCCTGCTGTGGGCAGGGATTGTCCCTGTCCCTGCCATGGCCACTGATCCCAGCGCTGGCTGATCCATGGGGCAGCCCAGGAGCATTTTGGACTGGAGTTAACCATGATGTGGGCAGGATGGGGCAATCCTCCAGTGCTAATTAACTGCTGTGCAATTGTCTCCTGCACGCTGGAGAACACCTGGCTTGTTGCTACAGGTTCGTTTCTCTCCTCTCAGGCTCAGCACATCCACCAAAGTGCTCTGAGCTGCCCCAAAACGGCTTCCAGGGGCGCTGGTGTTGGCCTGCAGCCTTAATTAGCGGGGCAGCTCCTCGTTAGCCTCGTCAATCATCTCCTGCCCTTTGCAGTGGTGGCTGGTGCTCTGGGGACATCCCGGCCTGGCAGGACCAGCAGATTCCTGCTGAAACAGCAGCATTGGTGGGATGCCACCCCTCTGGCTGTGCCCCACACAGATCCTGCCCACAGGAGCCCCAAAAGGGCTCTGGCTGAGCCCTGCACTCATGGGGAGACAGTTCAGTTGTCGGAGCCAAGGCCCAGGCAGCAGGGACTGACTGGGATATAAATGCCTCGGGCAGAAAATGAGCTTTATAGTGTTGGGGCAGCCTGAGATGAGGTGACAGATGCTTAATCAGCTTATTCCCTCTAAGTGTCTGCCTGCCTTCCCTCCCTGCCCTGCCCGGGCTGGGGCTCTGCCNCCTGTCCCTGTCCTGGTCCAAAGGAGCAAGGGCTGCCCCTGGGTTTGGGGTTCTGGTCCTTGTTCCCCCCTGCCTCCCAAGGTTTGCCTCCTTGTCCCAGTGTCTCAGGAGAGCATTGGCTCACTGCAAGGTGGGCACAGGGGTACCCCCATGTGTGTCTGGGGACCCCTCCTCACTGCTGCCCCAGCCCTGGGTGCCCCTGTGCTCGGTGCCCCAAGCCCTCCCTGTGCTGTCTTGCAGGGGATGTGCTGTTCCAGATGGCCGAGGTGCACAGGCAGATCCAGAACCAGCTGGAGGAGATGGTGAGTGCCCAGCCTGGCGTGCCAGGGCCCCTGGCACCGGGAAATGCCTTGTCCAGCTGCCACCAGCACCTCTGGCACGGCTTTGCTGAGCTCCAGAGGCTCTGCAGTGCTTGGGCATCCTCTCTGTGCCCTGTCCCAGTGCCCCCAAGCAATCCCTGTGCGTTTCCTCTCTCCTGCAGCTCAAGTCCTTCCACAATGAGCTCCTGACGCAGCTGGAGCAGAAGGTGGAGCTGGACTCCCGGTACCTGAGTGTGAGTCTGTGTGTCNAATGCCCCAGGAATTGCCCCCATTCCCAGCAGGAATTGCCCCCATTCCCAGCAGAAATGCCCCAGGAATTACCCCTGTTCCCAGCAGGAATCGCCCCCATTCCCAGCAGCAATGCCCGAGGTGCATTCCCCCTCAGGGGCACTCTCAGCTCCATTTTCTGGTGGCACCTTGGGCAGGAGGTGTCCCCAAGGTGGGGCCGGGGCTCAGGCCCAGCTCTGGGGCTGGGCTGGATGCAGGGATGCAGGCAGGAATGGGGATCTGGGATTTTGGGGTGGGCTGAGGGCCCTGCCAGGGAGGGCTGTGCGCACACAGAGCCCTCCTTGTTCTCCTGAGCCGATTATTCCTTCCCCCATCCGAGCTGAGGGCCCTGGGGCCAGGCAGGAGAGCTCAGGCAGAGCTCACCCTCACCCTGGGCAGTGCCAAGGGGCTCTGGTGCCATCCTGGTGCCATCCCTGGCACAGCTCAGGGGGTGCTGAGGGCTCTGCCCTGCCCCATCTTGGCTGCACATTTGGGATTCTGTTCTCTGTGGCCATCCTGGGGGTGGCACATCACCTGCCACCATCCCCAGGTCATGGGTCCCCTCCCTGGCTGGTCTGAGGCTGCTGCTGCCCCAAACAGCCACTAAGAGTTGTTATTATGGTTATTTTTGATATATCTGATAATTCTCTGGTTGGGGCATTCACTTTCCTTTCCTGGGGCACTGCAGAACTCCCTTGTTCCTTGTTCCTGTCCCTCCTGTGCTCAGACCCACCATGGTCTTCCTCAGTGGAGGATCCTGAGGCCTCTAGTAGGGAGATGGGAGGATTTGTTGTTGTTGTTGTTCTCTTTTCGTATTTATCAGGACAGAGCTGCTCACCCCACTCCCCATCACCCCTGCTAACCCCATGTTCTCTCCCCTTTAGACCATCATGGAGCAGTTCAACCCCAGCCTCAGGAATTTCATTTCTATGGGGAAGACCTATGAAAAAGCCTTAGCAAGTAAGTGGCATTGGGGCTGCCAGGCTGGGGAGGGGGAAAGCTGCAAAATCTTTTGGGGTTTTTGTTGAAAATCTTTTGGGGTTTTTGTTGAAAATCTTTTGGGGTTTTTGTTGAAAATCTTTTGGGGTTTTTGTTGAAA